CTATCACCATTGATATTCTATATGAGTTATTCGGTCAATGAACTACTAGTCAGTCTGAAGTGTATTGATATAAAAGATTTTGACTATGCTAAAACAATTGGTAGTGTTTGTTTTATCTTTTTAAAACAGCATGAAAAAAACAGACTAAAATTTCAAAATCGTTTTACTTAATAAATTATTACATGGGCACGAACTATTTTCATAATATCGATTTGATAACCTCATGCTACTTTTAAAATAGTTTCAACATGGTTAAAACTTCTATATCAACTCATTTAAGAATATCAATGGTGATAGAAATGGCGTAGATAAATAGTAAATAAAGGTGTCAAAAGAGCTTAATAACAAAAACCTATCATCACATTACCAAAAACATCGATCATTTAACGCCCATAACGACTTCAAAAGAATCACTGATGAAGTAGCCATTCGAATAGAATATTAGTGTCTTCGATATGTCGATCAAGAACACTCTATGTATCTTTGGTACAAGAATGAATCAACAAAAATTTGTATCTGACATTTTCTGTAAATCTAATGTAACTCGACGAAAAACAAAAAACGTCGTAGAAAGGCTGGGAAGGTCTTATTTTTATAGAGTAATGGTTTGTTCTACTATTTCGTTTGATACAAACAAATTTTATGCTCGAATTGTAGATGTTGAAACTGTAATGACAATTCTGTATTTTACCATATTATTTCTACTAACGTAGCTTTTGTAAAACTTTCCAATAGTATTGATATCAATAGTAGACATTCTCATCGTTATATTTATATCATGCAATATATTTTCATCATATATCTTGTTTGTTGATAGAAAAACATTTCATGTACAAATATTTTCTTATCGATTGATAGTTTATGGAGTACACTACAAGACATATTTCTTTTCTTTTCTCTACAATCGTTCTACAAATAATTATTGTGGCGATCAGAAAAAAAAAATGAAGAGTTGAGCTAGTACAAATATAATATTTTTGAGTAGAGAATCTACGCCTTATGTAGATCTATATTCAATGTTGATGATTCAAATTCATCGAATACATTTTTATTATCTTTGGTTTTTTAATAATTCCTTACTCAAAAATTAGTATTATTCAAATTGTATTAATAAGTTCTCTATTACATATAATTTTCCTAAATGCAGAAAAAAAAAACAAAATACAATTCTTAAATTACCTAAGAACGCATATGTTCGTCATAATTAACGCTTTTCTAATTAAAAAAAACATGATATATGTGAATGTACTATTCAGTTTAATTTATATGACGTCTAAAGGTAAAACTATTTTTACATATAATGATTTCATTTACTCATTTTTAATGACTCACGAGATCGAATATATATGTATAATCATACAACAAAAGAATAAATATTTATTGTATACTTGATTACCTTTTTGATAGCAAAAGAATTATAATTAAAGTGTGACTTATTCATTTAAGTATATATATGAGTTCTTTTATTTTCTTATTAACAAATAAATAATAATTATGTGTTGGAATCTTGAAGTTTCACTTGGATTTGCTGGTATTCATCTTTTAGCAGCTATATATGTAGCATGGCATCGTCCACCTTATTCACAATGTTTTCTTTTATTTATATTATTTTATTTTTTTATGGAATTATTACAAGCACTTCAATGGTTTATTGGAGTTGAATCATATCTTAATCAATCATGTTCAAAGACAAATACATTTCTAACTATAATTGCTTATATATTTATATGGTTACAACCAATAATGTTTGTTTCATTTGCAAATAAAAATAATAATCGTTTTGCATGGTATTATTCTTTACATACTCTTATGATTGCTATGATTAATTTAATTGTTGGTTTTTATGAAAAAGCAACTGGCTTAGAAATGATGAAACGTAATGAAAAAACAAATTATGGAATATATACATGTACTTATCAAGGTAAAGATAATCATCTTGTATGGAAATTTGCTGTTTCATCATTTAATTATCAACCTACACATTATGATTATTTTTCAATCATATTATTAACTTTTATTTTACATTATAATCGAACACTTCAATCAACAATTGCTGCTGGATGGATGATAACATATTTTGTTAGTTTATGGAATATCGGAGATGTTAATGCTGAATTAACTTCTTATTGGTGTTTAATAAGTGTTTTTGCTGATATTCCTATTATTATTTATACAATGATACATGCAAATAAAAAAAACAAACAGAATATTGATTAATAATTTGTAATTAGTTGTATGAAATGACTGAATTCAATTCATTTTGAATTATATAAAAAAATAAAGATCTTTATAGAATTGTATCATATTAACCTATGGCCAGAAAGTCTTGAGACAAAATATTTATCCATTTTTCGGGCTATTGGTTAGAGCTTAGAAGCAGTTAATTAAAATCAGACTTCTTCGTGTGTTTCAGAAATGATTTTCGAGCGAAGATTGGACAATTACTATCAGATTATTTCAAATTGTGATTATACAGAATACTATTTTGATCAGTTTTATGCTTCGATTAAAAGCTATCGCGTTCAAAATGCAAAACATTTTTTTAATGGCTTACGAGGGAATGATTCTAAGTGTGAAATCGTTTTCAAAATCGAGATTATATACATCATGTAGCAGACTCGGACTTCACTAATTATAAAAATACTCTATACAAATAGCATTTTGCTTTTATCAAAGCTTATTGAGAGAAAGTTTGTATGCTCTTATCGAAATAATCAAATAGTATTGTGTCAAGAACTATTAGTTTTATTCCTTCAATCGCAGTACATTTCATTTCTAAAAAAGCACAATCAAAGCTGTATAACTTGAGATAAAATTATATGGTCTATATTCTGATAACGATAAAAATTTCGGTTCGATCATTGCTAGACAGGAAACATTATGGCTAAGTGAGAAAATTCAAGATTTCGAGTTTGGAAATCAGTTGAGTGTTGAATGATTACATTTCTCTGCGATGTATATAGAAATATCACATATTCATCTTTGAGAAACTTAACAGATGGGTATTTCCATGGAATTTCTACCATGTTTACATGAAGTTTCTCGTATCAACGTAAAAATTCCAGCGTTTCTAGAGCTCGATTAGCTGATCATTTTGTTGTATTTAGATTGTGGAGAAAAGACCTTGGTATCTATGATTACCAGAAGTCGACTTTTCATAGTTCTAACGTGTAAAATTTCACAAATGATTGTTTTAATGTTTTTCATTTTTTTTCTATGCCTTTATTATTCGCACGTTGTTGCTCGCAAACACTTCTTATAAGGCGAACTTTTATTCAGTTTTAATCGGAGTATCCGGAGCAATATTATTTCCAATTCTGGAACGAATGAGAGAGAGCTGAAAGTCGATGGATCTTCACATATGACATCTTCAAATAGTGAAAAATGATTTATCTTTCAATTGAAAAAAAAATGCAACTTTCGGAATTTCCCAGATAACTGACATGGTGGCAAAGATAGAGCGAAACTTGCTCTACAAAACGAGTTCCAGAATTGGAAATAATATTGCTCTGGATACTCCGATTAAAACTGAATAAAAAGTAGCCTTATAGGAAATCTTTGCGAGCAATAGCGGGCGAATAATAAAGGCATAGAAAAAAAGATGAAAAACGCTAAAAGCAAATCGTTTGGGAAATTTTATACGATACAACTATGAAAAGTCGACTTCTGGTAATCATAGATACCAATGTCTTTTTTTTTCCGCAATCCAAATACATCAAAATGATCAGCTAATCGAGCTCTAGAAATGCTGACATTTTTACGTTGATAGGAGATACTTCATGTAAACGTAGTAGAAACCCTATGGAAATACCCAGATATATCTATTAAAGGATTAATAATAACATAATCAACTGGTCAGTTATTATTGATTTTCATTGGTCTAAAAGATACTTGTTTAAATCTTCCGATTGCAATTCTGCCATGTAGATTCTAATAAGGTATGAATATTCTGAAATGAATCCGTGCCTTTAGCTTACGATCGCGAGGATACTACACTTTTACCGTATTGTTTAAATGAATGTTGTGGTAACAGAAAAATTGAGTTTCGAATTTTGACTTGAAACTTTTCATAGAGACTGATCTTAATAAGAGTAATTTGTGACAAAAGTTTTATTTGCCACCGTAGATGAGCAGCGCAAGTCAAATTTTTTTTCCTGAAAGCAATTATACATTTTACTTTTTTAATGCGTTGATTAGGTTCGCATGAGTAGTGAAGTTAAACTTAAATATATGCCCTACTATGTATCAAACTCGACAAAGTTGACACAGTTAGAGAAAACAATTGCAACTCGTCGTAGTATTGGCGCGCCGCTTATAGCGACGTGAAAAGCATACTTTTACCATTACCATGTCTTAAGATAGAAGTAATCAAAAGATCTGAAGTTTTTACAATACACTATTCTCATTAAGACATGTCTGTATGCAAGTTTTTAAGTCAAAATTCGACATTCAATTTTCCTGGTGTTTGTGAAGGGAGAGAATACAGTATTCTGCTAAAACGTACCAAAAAAAACTACAGTATTTTGGCAGTAATAAGCTTTTACTCAAAATTCTTTTCAAGATGTTCATGTCTCATTAGAACCTCCATGATTCTATTTCATTGATGCAGACAATAGTTTCTGAAGTACTTTAAATGATGCATTTATCTACTTCTATCAAATAGTTCTTATCGATAGACATTCTCTTAATTTTCTTCCATTAAAAGTAATAGTGATTCACATAATTTAGTTTTCTGCTCTATGAGCTATGATATCGAGCATGAAATTGAACAATTTTTGAACTGAAACATATTAATTGAAGCAGAAAACCAATTTGTTAATAAAGTCTATCTTGCTTTTTTCTTTTAGTCTGAAGACAAGAAAATCTATGACTCTTCATTGTATTATATTATTGTGAGATAAAAAATATTCATTATACATATGTCATGGTTATGTTTGCTAAATTTTATTAATTAACGTAGATAGCAGTGTCCCGAGGTCGCCAAACTTTGGTAAGGGTTATTCGCTTTGGATATGGACACGTTTTTCTTTATGTTAAGGTTTCTGTTCAACTATTTGAACTTTTCTATCTCCTTTCCTATTGATTTCTTGATAATATTGAAATCTGTTGCTACATTTTAATCTTTGTATAAATCATTTTATGATATACTTGTTTATTTGCCATATATATCTTTGGTTAACATGCAAAAATAGCTTTTAGTTCAAGACAACAATACTGATAACTTGGTCAATGTTTCGCTTTTGAATTATAGCTTAAGGCTAAATAACAATTTCTTTTATATAGAATAGATAATTGAATGATAGAGGAAAAGACAAAACAGTGAAAAATGATGATACTTCACTTTGTTTTTTGTTTTCTTTTGTCAATTAATTTTCAATTAAAAGATGATAAATAATAAAATAATTTTTATTTCTATGAGAAAAAGAAAAATTACAATTGTTTTATACAGTCATTCTTCGTATAACATCAATTCTTAAAGCTGCTAATTCCATTTGTCGTCTTTTATATTTTTTTATTATCATACGAATAATTATAAACATTGTTAATAGAATTCCAATCATATTCATAATTAATTCCATACTAAAATCAGTCATTTCTTCTTTGATTTGTTTTTCTTTATTTTTCTTTATTTTTGTTATATTTGTTGTAATTAAATCAAATGGAGGATAAAGTGAATATTCAAAATAACCAACACTATATCCATATATATCAAAAACAAAACGTATTATTAAAAGTACAAGTAATAATATTGTAGATATTGATAATAGACCAACATGTTCAAACCATAATGCATATAGAATCAAATTAGAACATATTAATATACAAAAAACACTAACAATACTTCGAATAGACATATATATTCTAGGAGATAATTTTGAAGTTGAATAAGGATATTGAAATATAACTTGTTTTGCATATTGAAATACATTACATATCAAATAAACATAAAAACAATTGAGAACAACACGTAGATTATTGATCTTTGGTTGAAAACAATCGTTCGACAGCATGTGTCTATGTTTATATGACAGTACAAAAAACACATATTTATTTAAATGATTGCATTGATTGATTTATGACACTATCATAATTACATTCAAGGATTTATATATATATATATATATAATTTATGTTTATTTGGAAGATGTTTTTTTGGTTATATAATGGAGAAAATCATACTAAAATGGTAAAATACAAATAGTGTATTTATTGCACTTAAATATATCATTTATGAATTATAACATATAAAATCTATTGGTTGATGTTATAAATAGAAATAATTTCGTATATACACTGTCACATAAATGTTGTTTAAAGACTAATTTTCATTCAAATATTTGCTAATAAAATTATGGCAGACTTTCCTACAATAGTCTTTTTTTTTTTTCTTTGCTTTCTATATGATCTGATTATGTTTAAATACAAATATGTTGGCTGATGTCATCAATTTGTTTGATTGTGTGTTATTTCTAATATTAATGATGACATGAAGAGAGAAAAGAAAAAAGAACAACACTACTCAAGAGAAACTTAACTATATATTTATAAGATGTTCGATAGAACATATGAGAAAATTCTCAAGGATTTTGTTTTTCTTCTGGATTAATCAAAATGATGAATAGAAAAATATTTAGTGAAGGTCTCATTCATATTAAATATGAATAATAAAATAATTCTCAATTGAAATTACTGATTAAGATGATAATAAAAAACAATGTTTTATAGTCAATCTCATCAAAGATATAAATTTTTGATTATGTAATAGAAAAAAGTTCATTTCATCATACATGAAATTGAGACTTATATAATTTTCAAACAAAAAAAAACAAAATTCATTTAATATGATAACTTATTAGGAATAAGAAATAAGTTAAATTAAATTCTTTAATATTTCACAGAATAAAAATTAATATATTTTCGTTAAATTATAATATCATACAATAAAATTGTAACATTACAATAAACGAGATAAGAATTCTTTGTGAACAATGACATTTTCATTTTCAAGTTATACTTCATCACTTACATTCGATATACAAAATGGCAAGTATGACTACTTAACTTGAACTAGATATGATGTGAAAAATCTATTTATATTCATATCTTTTCTTTTTCTTTTAATTCTTTCGATTAGTGATCTTGATCATAAACTATAACTTGTCAAATTAATCTTTCACATTTGTTACTTATCGATTATCATTGATTAAATAGAAAAAGGTCAAAATAACGAATGAATTCATTTTTCTTTCTCTTTTCTTGCTCTTCTTCTATGTATACCACATTCACACTATGCAGGTATTGCATGCTGTGCCACACACCATTCAATTGATTGCGCAAGAGAAGAAATAAAATAAACAATGTACATGTACATCTGCAGGCATGTATATGTATACATTTATATATATATATATATCTCAAACACGGCCCACTTCTTACGTTCGTTGTTTGAAAAAGAATGAGTACATAATGTACATCTTAGGCAGTTCAAGGATATTCTTAATAGAAGAATTTCAAACTTGTCTAACAATATTATTATGATATGGAGAGAAAAACTTTCTTACAGGTTTGCCGAGAACTGTCTTTTTTTTTTTTTTCTTTTTTTTTTTCTATTTCATGTTTGTTTTATAATAGCTCGTAACTGTCAATGTTCTAGAAAATGTTAGAAGAAACATTGTTCTTCTCTCTTCTTTTCCCTCTTAACATCATCGCAGACAAAATGAGTCGTTCAATTTTCGAATGATTTCCGACTGAGGAAATCTTAAAGCAAAAAGACGATGACAATGCCTATTGAAGAATCAGTAAATGTTTCATGATTGAATATATTGACATTGACGAACAAGAGAGAAAGAACGAAGACTATTAGCTTTTCTTATTTTCATCGAACATTCTTTCTTTTTGACATTTAGATGTTTATTAATAATAAGAGAAGTTAGTTTATAGGATCATTATCATTTATCTCATGTAATAGACTGGTAATCATCAACTGGAGACTTGTTTTTAAGTGTAACTTTTTTTTTTTTTCTATTCATAATACAAACGGAATAATTATTCTGCTAACAACTTCGAAATGAGATACATTAATTGAGCTAATCTGGATATATATATATAAACGTTGTTTTTTTCTTCTAAAATCTCTTTGTCATTATCACCCGTTGTTTAATTTTCTATTGTAAATAATTCAATGTAAGAGATTAATAAAATTTTACTGATTATTCAGTTTAAGATTAGATTTAAGGTCAAACTGATTTGAGATCTTTCGTGTAAGACGATATTATAGGATAGAAATTTTCTTATAAGTAATTTTGTTTTGGAATAAGAGATTGTAACAGATGAAAAAATCTGTTAGAAGATATAAGAAAAAAAATCGATTAACCAAAGTAATCATGTAAAACATTCGGAGAAATAGAAAAGAATCTTATGTTTTGTTTGTCTTTCTTTATATTTACTTAAGATCGATGCAAAACAAGAAATTATCAATTTTTTCTCATCGATGGTCGAATCCTCGATGTTCTTAAGAATTTTTATTACATTCTTCTTTTTCCATAAAACGTTCTCAAATGAATTACGTATTAATACAACATCAGGTATATTTGAAGGTAAAGAAGTAATTATTGAAAATGTTCCAGTACGACAATTTTTTGGCATTCCATATGGTGAAAAACCAGTTCGTTTTGAAATGCCAATATTACGAAAATATAATTCAAAAACTATTACTCGTGCTACTGAACGTGCACCGGGTTGTCTTCAAGCATCTGGTGGACTATCATATGGTCCATTTGAATTATCAGATATGTATGAAGAAGATTGCTTAACATTAAATATGTTTATTCCTAAAACAAAATCTTTATCATCAAAAGCAATTATGGTTTTTTGTCATGGTGGTTCAAATCAAGTGGGTTCAGCTTCTTTATTCGATGGAAGTGCTATTGCTGCTCTAGGCCATGTTATTGTTATAACAATAAACTATCGTTTAAATATATTAGGATTTTTAACACCAGGTCCTGATAAAATGCCTGGAAATTATGGTTTACATGATCAAATTTTAGCATTAAAATGGGTATCAATTAATGCAATAAATTTTAATGGTGATCCAAAACGTATTACTTATATTGGACATTCAGCCGGTGCAGCTAATGCTGTATTACTTGCAATGTCTAAACGATCTGATGGTTTAATAGCACGAGTTATTGCACAAAGTGGTTGTCCATTGAATCTATGGTAAAACAGATAGAACCATATTCAATTCATTGTTGTATTGAAACGTTTTCTTCTTTTTTAGGGCGATTGATAAACAACCATCAATTCGTTTTAAGAATGTGATAGAACGCCATGGTATGAAAGCAAAGAAAAAATTAATGCAATCAAATATAAATAAATTAAAAAATATATCAGCAGAAAATTTTCGTTATATGTATCATTCAGGTTTAGAAATTTCACCAGATTATCCGTAGGAAATATAATATCATACACTATGAATTCTTAAAACTCATATCTTTTTTTTTTTCCTCATTAGATTTCCTATTATTGATAATGATATTCTAACAAATGATCTTGAAGAATTAATTCGTACAGGACCACTTGTAAATATTGATCTATTAGTTGGTGTTACAGCTGATGAAGCATTATATTTTGCTGAAGAACATATATTTAATCATTATTTACCAAGACAATATCGTACTAGTCCATCATTAACAACTACTCCACGACCATCGACAACAAAATCTAATGAAATTAATATAGTACAAAATCGTACAGAAAAATCAATTGAAACTGAACATCCTCGAGGATTTTCTTATTTTAGAAAAAATAATTATATTAAAAATTATTTAAAAACTAATTATCCAGATCATTTATGTTACTATGAAGAAATTCAAGCACGATATATGCCCAGCAACAAACATCAACATAATCTTACTGAAACTGCTCATCTTTATACAGATCTAGTCAGGTAAATTTTTCGAAAAAAAACAACAAAATTTTTTATCTATATTTTTGTTTCTTTTTTTCACATTTAAGTGATTTAATGTTTTATTATGATCTCATTCGTTTTCTTCATGAACGTTTACATTCAAATTCATCAGCATCAACTTATGTATATTATTATACAAATCCACCTGTATTTGATCTTGATAATGTACTTCGACGTATTCCAAATCTGATTGGACATTTTGCTGAACTTGATTTAACATGGGGTATTCCATATTTTAATCGTAAAAATCGTACAAATATAGCTTATAATATGAATATATCATATAAACCAGAAGAAATTGATTTAAGTTTACATTTAATTCGATATTGGACAAATTTTGCTAAAACAGGTAATTGTCTTTGTTTTGGTATAAAAACAAAAAGAACTTTTCGTCTTTTTTTTTTTTTATTAGGAAATCCAAATGAACCAGCATATGTACCAGTTTATTGGCCACCATATGAAAAAACAAAAAAGACTTATATTAATTTTCATACATATGATACACAAATTGAAGAACAATTTTTCGAAGAACGTTTTCAATTTTGGAATATGATATTACATCGTCCAACATGTACACCATTTCATTGGTATCATACATGTTTACTTGTTGGTATACTTATATTTTTTCTTGTTCTATTAGCAATTTATATTTTTTATAATGCTAAACGATCACGTCGAAATATAAAACCAACTGAGATAACAAATAATGATGTTGTGACTACTTACCATTTTTTACCTACTGTTGTCTCTTAATTTTGTGCATGTTTGTGTGTATTTTGTAGTTCAGATTTTTATTCGATTTATTATATTAAATAAGTACTAGAGAATAAAATTTATGTCATTTGGTTATTTTTTGTTTGTTTGTTTGTTTTATATAAATTAAGTAGATGACCAAGATTTAATGTTAACAATGAGCATATTAGCTAGATGAAATTCATTAAATATATTCTATCAAAACAATACGATAGAATGAAGAGATCAACTATATGTAACGTTCTGTACAGATATGATTTTTCACACACGAACCGAAGCACAACGACA